GCAATATCCATCTTGGCCACTAGGTGTCAGTCCCCTACTGACCCTTTGCTGCTGGATGACCTTTTTCCCTGGGAGACAATTCACTCCAGCAGAAACGCAGGTCACCCCGGCAAAGGTACCGTCTTCTCTCTGTTGGAGGTCTTTCACTTTCTTTTATAAAATAATACTTAGCTTTCCCCCTATCTTAAAAGCAATCGCTGAAAAAAACTAAGAGAAATATAAGAAGAGAGGAAAAATTGCCCATAGAGCTGCCTTCTGGAGATAATGGCTGTTATATCTTTTGATTAACTGTTAACCTTTTGGTCTTTGATGTATATTTGAAATAGTAACAGCTTATGCTACTATGTGACTGGCACCGTTCTAAAGGTTTTATATGATTAATTCACTTAGTCTTCACTATAGCCCAAGGAAGGACTATTCTTTCCTGTGATTTTTTTTACTTTATATTAATATAATTTTACAGCTTTTTTGAGATGCATTTTACATATCATACATTCTCCCATTTAAGGTGTACAGTTCAGTGGTCTTTATTATATTCACAGAATTGTACCACTAACACCATGGTTTAATTTCAGAACATTTTCAATATCCCAGAAAGACATTCTGTTCTTATTGGCATTCCTACTCTTGCCCCGACTGGAAGGGACTCTTCTTATTCCAGATTTACAGAACAGGAAACAGGTGTCCAGAGGTGAACTGTTCCAAGGTCGTGTGACTTGTCGTTGTCAGAGCTGGGGTTTGAACTCAGTCAGAAAGGCTCTGGGACTTGCATGCCTGGCCACCATGCCGTCCTGTCTTCTGTGCACGTAGCAATCCTGGGGTCACGTCATCTTGTACTCTATTCGTTTCTCTTAACATCATATTTCTCATGACATTAAATAGTCCCCTGAGACATGACTTAAGATGGCAGCATGAAGTTCAATCTGTGCTATGGACGCTCTGTGTTTAACAGACATTGGGGGGTTCCAGATTTTCCCTTGTTGGGGAGACTCTGAGGATTACGTCCTTGCTCATTCATGTCTGTGGGCATTTCTGACCATTGCCTTAGCATAAATCTTGGAAGCAAAATTGCTGGGACAAAGACTATACATATTTTAAGGACAAACCATCTCCAAAAAATTGTACCAGTTTATTCTCTTAAAAGAAATGTTCAACAGCCATCTTTTTTCCCAAAATAAATGTGTTTTATTTCTTAATATGCTTTAATACTTTTTTCATGTTACCAAAATGATAGCTGCAGGCTAATGGCATCACGTAGAACTAAGGACGCTTACTCAACACAAGCTATCGATAGAAGTTATTGTCGGTTGCTCCAATTTCTCCTCACTTCTTAGGAAACAGCATAACAATAACGAGAAGAATAGAATGAGATTCTTTGCAGAAGCTCTGAAACGAATCCCAGGCAACATGCATTAATAAGAAAAGCATCTCAGACTGAGGGCCTCTGATGCAAAACCAGAAGTGGGAATCGTTTAACCCAATTCTCTTCCTGAGGTCCCACACAACACAGGGATCCCACAACTCTAAAAAGTTTTATTTTATTTTATTTTTATTTTATTTTTTCGAGACAGAGTCTCACTCTCTTGCCTGGGCTAGACTGCTGTGGTGTCATCCTAGCTCGCAGCAACCTCAAACTCCTGGGCTTAAGTGATCCTCCTGCCTCAGCCTCCTGAGTAGCTGGGACTACAGGCATGCGCCACCATGCCCGGCTAATTTTTTCTGTATATTTTTAGTTGTTTGGCTAATTTCTTTCTATTTATAGTAGAGACGGGGTCTCACTCTTGCTCAGGCTGGTCTCGAACTCCTGAGCTTAAGCAATCCTCCCGCCTCAGCCTCCCAGAGTGCTAGGATCATAGGCTTGAGCCACCGTGCCCGGCCTTAGTTCATTTATTCAACACGTATTTCCAGAGGGACTGCTGTGTGCCTGACACCAGGTGCTGGAGCCAGACAGATCTGAGGAGGCTTCCCCCATCTGGGGGGACAACATTAACCACCTTGCAGGGAGTCGGGGGAGATAACGGAATAATGTGTGGAAAGCCCTCAATAAATCAGTTGGAGCTATTTTCTTACTCTTATTTGTGGTTTCTGATCAAGAGAGAGGTCGTGTATGGTTCCATGAAGACCTAGTTGGAAAATGAGTTTTACAAACTTGAGTCTCCATGAAGCCCAGTTTATATTTACTGTTTGTTTAAAAACAAAACCACGCTGGTCTCACCCTTTCCTTGCCCTTACACTATACACAATCCTATGCCGTCCTAAAGGGATGGAGTCCACACATACAGTGGATTTGCACATAGGTAGGAACTGCAGGGGTTTGGGGTGTGTTTCAGGGTGTGGTGGCAAGAGGGGGCTGCTAGTCTTTGGGGGAACCCTGGGAGGCATGTTTCCAAGGCAGACCTGCCTGGGAGTGGAGTTCGTTGAAGTCCGTGAAGATGGTATCTCAATGGTGAGGGATGTGGGATGTGGGAATTGGGTCCAGGGACAGATGACCTCTGGGACTGTCACAGGGAGGACACCCTTTCCTTTGTGGGATGGCCTTGACAGAGGTAGGACATCAGATCGGGTGGCCCTTCACGGTCCTTTCTAGCCTGAGGGTCCCTTGAAATCAGGAAGTTGTCCTTTTGTGACCTGGTGTCTTCGCACACGCTGCCTCTGTGGCCTGGGCTGGCCTTCCTCCTCCAGAGCTGGGAAATTCCTGGTCGTCATTCAAGATTGAGCTCAATGTCACCCTTCCTGGAAACGTTTTCCTGGCTCCCTGAAGACAGCGCATTGCTTGTTTGGCGGCCTCCCGACACCTCTGTGGTTCCCCATCAGGCCCTCACTGTTGAGTGTTAGAATTTGTCTCTTTTATCTGTCCTCGTGACACAATGGCCAGCCCTCTACCCCAGGGGCCCACGGCAGTACCTGGCACATGGTGGGTGCTCAGTGAGCCATATGTGCTGAATGACGGGATGATGAAGGAAGGAAGACAAAGCATCACTTTTGCTGATGTTTGTCCCACCGGAGTAAAGGGTATTACTGTGCGTTGAGATGGGCATTATTTTCTGTTTTTTTTATTCTTCCTGCCCCTTCTTCCACCTGGGCTCCCCTCCCTCTGCTGCCCTCATCCTGGGCCTCTGCCTGGGGTCTCCAAGTGGGAGGAAGTGATGCTCCCACCCCAAACTTCCCAAACTGTGGCAGCTCAAACCTAGTGGTTTCGTGGCTGTGCCCGGTCAAGCTCAGGATGCCATGCTCTGGCAGGCTGGCGCCTTTGTTGCCCCTGGTGCTGTTCTATATGAGAGACCCGCTCCCCAAGACAGCCCTTGAGGCCAAGGGAAGGGCCGTGCAGGGTGTTAATGGCTAAGGAGTCCTTGTGAAAAGCAGGACTGGAAGGGACATTGCAGCAGCAGGTGGCAGAGAGCTGGTGGCCCAGGTCCTGTGCCTGCCTCGTGGGGAGCCAGAGTGGAGCCACCTCCCTGTGAAGGGCCTTACCCAGAGCCCACCTTGAGCAGAAGGCCCCTGTCAAAGGCCCTTTGAAGATGGGAAGAGGAGAATCTGTTTTTAATTATCCTTTACCGTCCTTCTGCATAAAGGACAAATGTGGGCGGGGCAGTCACAGACTCTTCCACCTGTCCACAGCACCCCTCTGCCACTTCTTTTGGGGCCTACTCCTCCCTAGCTCCAGCCATGTGGTTCTAGAGGAAGCTGTCAATCACCTCTAGGTCCCAGGCCAGGCCACCTGACCAAGCAGAGCCAATCATAGTACCCCTTCCCTGGCTACGAAGCTCAGTCCAGGGCCGAACACATGACCCGAGGGGGACCAATCAGAGTCCTCCCCGGTGCCCTGGTGTTCTTTGAGCTTCTTTCTGGTTAGATGCCCTAAGGACGCAAAGTCCTGGGGCGGGCAGAGGCAAAGTCTTCCACCATGGGCAGAAGCCCAGGAAAAGAAAGCCGTCAGGCGAAGAGATTCGGAGATGAAACAAGGAAAGGAGGGAGGTAAACAGTAAGTGGATGGTTTGTGATTTCTTGGGCCCAGTCACCAAGATCTCTGGACCTGGTCTGGTTCTTGCAACTGCCCCAGAATCCTGCCCTGATAAGCCTCCCTTTTCCTTCCAGCCAGCTGGGTCGGGCTCCTCTCCTTTGTGGTCTGGACTTGATCCGAGAGTCCTGCTTCGTTGCGATGTACCTTCCCGGCCCAAGCAGACCATGACTGTTAGCACCATTGAAAAGAAAATCTTTTATTCTCCACTTAGGGCTTTGCAGAGCACCACACACAGCTCACGTCAGCTCCCCCGGGCGGGAAGCCGCCGGAGGAGTGTTGGGGTTTGTGTCTGGGGTGGGCCTGGCTGCTTTCTGGAGAAGTTACAGCGATGATGTCGCACGAGCCAGGCCAATCATGTTGTTCGCTCGATCAAACACGCTGAAATACAGCCTCAGGAAAACGTCTCCCAAGATCCAGGTGTTTGTGTCCGGCGATCTGGTCTGGTAACTTTCGAAGTTGGTGTAGCAGGCGCCTGAACGGTCCTGGAGAAGACCACGGAGACACGCAGCGGTCAGCCTGCGTCCTCACCTGCCGCCCCTTCCGTATCCAGCCCCGGCGGCTTCTCAGCTTGGTGTCTCTCCTCTGCCAGGAGCCCAGAGGCTCTCCCGATGGGGGAGGAGCAGCTGCCCACCCAGGACGCAGAACCGCTGTGTTTTCCCACACGCTCAGCCGTGTCTCCGCCTCTGACCCTCGTTTGCGCTGTTCCCGCTGCGAGAATGCCTTTCCTTCTCCTCCTCACCCCTCATCCTTAAAGACTGAGCTCCGGCACCCCAGCCCAACCCAGGGCAGCCTTGCTGGACCCAGCCTTGGCCTCCTCAGCCACTCCAGGCTGGGGCAGGCGACTTTCCTCAGGGGTCCCCTGGTCCCAGCTGTGCCCCCAGCCCCCTACCATGCTGGATCACCCGGTCTGCCAACTCACCTGCCCTGGGCTGCCCAGCTCCCTGGGGTGCCATTTGAGGGCAGTGTGGACCTGCCTCTAAGCCAAGCAGGCCTCTTCCTACCTCTGCGAGGATGGAGCTCAGGGTTGTTTAAATTCTGTCTCTCCCCACGGCTTTCTTCTGACCCAGTCAGCCTCCCTGACTCCCATGGGCCTCAAGTACATGCCAGGTGCTGTGTGGTCCCCATGTGTCCTTCTTCATGTCAACCTCCTAAGCACCCCACAGAGGGAGTGGCTGTTCCCCTGCTTCGCAGAGGAGGGAACTGGGGCTCGGCAAGGTGAAGTTGTGGCCTGGGACCAGGGTAACCATATAATTTATCATCCAAACCAGGACAGTTTGGAGAAGGGAAGGGAGCACTGTGAGTCACTCTGGTGGGACAAGGCGTTGGGACTGTCCCCAGTCAACCCTGTCTGTCACTATTCCTTTGGCATATTGCAAGCAGTGCTGTAGCCGACTTCCCGTGTTCAGCCTTTGGAGTGTCCTGGTTGAACTGACGCTCCTTGGGGCAGATGCCCTTCTGTCCCTCCCGCCCTGTTCCCAGCACGTGCCGGCACGGGGTGATTATTGCTCAGCGTCTGTCGGAGACAATGGGTGTCCCAGACTGCCCCTGCCATGCAGGTGTTTGTTGTGGGGCTCGGTAGGGTCTGCAGTGGCTCAGCTTGGCCTCCGGGGGGCCTCTTCCTCCCGCAGCCCAACCGTTCCCGTGAGTCCCGCGGGGCTGGGCACCTCACCTTCCGGATGTAGGCACTGGGTGGCACCGGGTAGTTGACGCCGCTGATGACGAAAACGATGTCAAACAGGGTGTCGACGGTGTCACAGTGGACACTGTACTGTCGGAGAGAGAGGAGAGAAAGGATGGCCCAGATGGTCCCTCAGTGCGTGGCGGCCCGGGCGACCTCAGGCAAGACCCTTTACCTCGCCTCCATTGGAAACCTTGGCTTTGATGCTTTGCTGGACCGAGGCGATAGAGTTATGCGGGCCGGTCAGCATGGAGGTCCCGGTATCAATAATGGCCTGGCAGCCGCCGTTACAAGCAATAACTGTCCCATTCATGGTGATTCTGAGATGGGGAAAAGCAGACACCAGGGTCACTCTACAGCCTCCCTCCATCCCAGCCCTCCCTGGCTGTCCCCAGAACAGCACTTCAGCTCGTGTCCCCACTCTCCGTTTCCCTTTGCACCGGGCACACTGACCTTCTGTGACTTCCTTTCGGTTCTTGAATGCTCCAACCTGTTTCTTGCCTCAGGGCCTTTGCACATGCTGGCCTCCCTTTCTAGAACTGCCCTCACCCCCTCTGTCTGGATAATTTCTGCTGATCCTCTAGGTTCCGGCTTAATTGTCACTTTTCCAGGGAAGTAGATCCGGCTCCTCTCTTCGCCACCCTCATCATCTTCTTGCTCGTTTCTAGCAGGTACTGAAGTGGGGATTCATCATTTTGTGACTCACTGGTTCATATCTGGCTGTCCTACTGGATGGTGAGGACTGTAAGAGCAGGTTGTGTCCTCAGTGCTTCCACTCAGGTGCCTGGCGCACAGTGGATGCTCAACGTATGTTTGTTGAATGAATGAACGAGGGAAACTGGAGACCTGTATCCGGTATCTGATCAATCGCGGGGCCCCAGAGTGAAGCAGGAGGCCTTCTCAGGCCGCAGATGCTCAGAGTGGTGGGAAGGGGCCGCAGGCTGCTCCGGAGGTTGCTTCCCAGGAGTCCCAGCTCGGACGCTGAGGCCCCTGGCCCAGGCAATGCCTAAGGGGCTACAGATGCCTCCAAAGGACATTGAAGCTTTTGCCAGTGGCATCACACGGAACCCAGTTGGTTACTGTCCCTGTGTTCCCTGGCATTCCAGGTTCCTGATTCTCTCACAGTCCCTGGCCCCACAGCATGCTGAGGATGGGGTTGGGTGGGGACTGTCCTTTTGTGTGATTCTCTTTCAGCTGGAGAATGAGGCAGACCTCTCTCCATTGCTGGGTATCTTCTCCCTGGGGTGGCCAACCTTCTGGGTGTGCCTGGGACTTCCTTTGTTTTCAAACTGAAAGTCCCGTGTACTGGAAGCCCTCTTGGTCCCAGGTAAACTAGGACAGTTGGTCACTTATCATGCCTCTGTTTGGCCTGGTGAGTTTCTCCCTGATCCGCTTTGCTCTGCACTTTAGGGTCCTCAGACCACCCTTCCTGCCCACACCACAGCACGCCAGGCCCCGCTACGCTGCATGGCCTCTTCCAGGGATCCCAGCTTCCCAGCCCTGTGGGGCTGCCCCACTCCTACTCTCAGTGCCCAAGTCTCAGGCCCGATCTGTCTTCTCTCGTCAAGACCCTGGTCAGGAGGTCTGGAGGGATTCGGAACCACAGGGGCACTGTGTGTGCAGGTGTCTGTATGGCTGTTTCTGTGTGTGGTGTGGCTGTGTGTGTGTGCGTGTGTGTCTTGTGACTGTATGAGTTTGTATGTGTCTGTGACTATCTGTGTAGCTGTGTGTGTGTGTGTGTGTGTCTATGCATGTGTTTGTGCATGCATGCGAGTGTGTGTGCATGTGTGTTTGTGTGTCTGTGCATGTGTTTGTGCATGCATGTGTATGTGCATGTGTTTGTGTGTCTGTGTAGGTGTTTGTGCATGCATGTGTATGTGCATGTGTTTGTGTGTCTGTGTATGTGTTTGTGCATGTGTTTGTGTGCCTGTGCATGTTTGTGCATGCATGTGTGTGCATGTGTGTCTGTGCGTGCATGCGTGCATACATGTGTGTGTGCATGTGTGGGGAAGTGTGTGGCATCACTCGGGGCAGGAATCAGAGGCAGGGGCTTACCTGTCCATGTGTACCTGCCAGTAGAGGGGTTGGGACACTGGCACCCAGTTAAGCTCCTCCTCATAGTAGGAGGGGTCCACCCCGCCAAGCATCAGCACGCTGCCTCTCTCTTTCCGGCTGGAGGGGAAGAAGAGCAAGGGCTCATTGCGGTGAATACTGGGTAGCATTCTTCAGGCTCGATGACACACCAGGCGCTGCGCAGGGGTTTGCTATCGTTGCTCACCCAATCCACACACTCACACTTCTAGGGAGCAGGCACTGCTACGATCTCCATTTTATGGATGGGGAAGTTGAGGCAAAGAGGGGTTGAATACCTGCCCAGGGCTGGTCACATGGCTAGTGAGTAGCAAAGCTGAGCTTTGAACCCGGACAATCTGGCTCCTGAGCTGGGCTCTGACCATGCCACTCTTCTGAGAAGGGCCAGGTCCCCTCCAGCAATCAGAGCAGACTCTCAGATGCAGTTGGAGGATCCATGGCTAGGGGCGTCTGACCTCCACCTTGCGCAGCCTGTCATTTTTCAGAAAAACTGAGGCCCGAGGGGGACTAAGGGCCGTGTGTGCAGGCTCACACAGGGCTGGCTTCGTGGGCCTGCGACCTGTGCCATCCACAGGGCCCTGTGCTTAGAAGGGCCCTGTGCCTCTGCTGTTGCCGTTTTGAAATTCTTAATACTTTTTGAACAAGGGTCCCCACATTTTCATTTGCTCTGGGCCCTGCAAATTACATAGCTGCTCCTGGGCTCGTGGTAAAATCTTAGTGTGGGAGGAGCATCCCTGCAGACCCCTCTCCTCCCGCATGGAATCCATCAGCAAATCCTGTTGTCTCTCCTGGTAACCCCAGCCTGCCTCCCCACGGCTCTGCCTCTCCCCTGGGTCCGGCTGCCACCCTTTCTCTTCCCGGCCTCCATTCTGTCCAGTCACCCTCCAGCGGGCACCCAGGCTAAGCTTTCAAAAACAGAAGTCAGATCATGTCTCTTCCCTGCTTAGCCCCCTGCCAGAGGTCTCTGCTCCTGCTTGGGACAAAGCCCCAGGGCAGCATCGTCCCTGCCTCCCCCTCCAGGGCCCTGGCGGGTCGTCGGTGCTACAGCTCTGCACATGCGTGCGGTGCCCCTCTGGGCTCTGCACTCACGCTCCCCCGTGCCTGGCTCTCAGAGTCTCAAACCTGGCTCCTTCCCATGGCAGGGGTCCCAGCTCAGAGTGCCCTCTCCCCTGCCTGTTCTATCAGCCTGATTTATTGCTTTCAGAGAACCAATTACTGTCAGGAGTTGTCTTTTTCCTTTAACTATTTACTTATTTCGTGTCTGCCTTCTCTACTCGCCTGTCTGCTTCATGTGTACAGAGCAGCACCCGGCACATAGTAGGTGCCCAATTATCTCCTTTGATTGGATACAAGTGCCCCTGAGGCTTAGCGAGTTCAAATAACCCGCTTACAGTCGGAATATGGAGCCGGGCTTTGGACCCAGGTTCCCTAGAGCTACAGCCTCAACCACCACACTCTCCTGCCTCCTGCGTGGCTCTGTGGGGCCAGCCACTGCCTTTGTGGGGAAGACACGGTCTGTCAACAGGGTCCTCCTCTTGTCTGTGCTCCACCCTTCTCCCCACCCTCTACCAGACCCTAAGCCAGTCAGGGGACGCAGCTTTTCTTTACCGAGCCCAGTGACGGGAGACTTGCTGATGGATTGACCACCTGCCAGGAGGGAGAGCCCTGAGGGCTGAGTTCGAGTCCTGCCACTACCCATACGCAACTGGGAAACCTCGCGCAAACCCCTCTCTGAACCTGTTTCCTCATCCATTGAACGACGGGACTGGACGACAGGGGTCAGCAAACTTTTTCTGTAAAGGGCCTGATCGTCGATATCGTGGGCTTCGTGGGCCGTGCAATCTCTATTGCACTGCTCGACGCTGCCACTGCATGCGAAAGTAGCCACAGCCAACATGTGAAGGAGTGAACGTGGTTGTGTTCCAACAAAACTTTATTTTTAAAAATGGGTGATGGGCCAGATTTGGCTCCCAGGCTATAGTTTGCTGACCCCTGGACTAGACTGTCTCTAAGGAAACTTCTGGGTCAGATACTCCATAATTTTCATGCGACCAAAAGTGTCTTAGAGCTGAGTTGAAGAAAGGGCTTGTCTAGCTCACACTTACCTGCTCAAGTAGAAGGCAAAGACTTTCTCAGAAAGGAGGCCTTGTTCCCACAGGTTGTCGAAGACAGGGGTGGTTCCTTTAATGGCAAGGCCAGGATAGCCCAGTCCCAAGATGCCATCGAAGACTGAAAATTCCATGAGATTGCCGCGCTCCTTGCGGCTCAGGCCAAAGGCCTGGTTTTCGTCCACAAGGCCCCCGATCTGCGGGAGAGGAGGATGTTTCCGTGTAAGTGTTTGGGGCAGGGGCTGGGGCTGGGCTGGGGGGACGTGGGTGAGGAGATGCCACCAGCACCACAGTCACCGAGGAGGCTGTGCCGGGGCTGCACCTCAGATGACCATGGCCGGCAAGAACAAGAGTGCGGGTTCCGCGTGGGCCGTGCAGCAGATTCTGACAACACCTGCCCCTCTCTCGTGCCACCTAGAGTTAGGCTAATGGGCCTGATCCCCTTTCCCCAGGCAGGGAAACTGAGACTCTGAGTGTGAGCAAACGGTTCCCACTTGAGGAACCATTAGAGAGAGTAAGGTCTTCTTTTTGGCGTCACCAGGATCTGATGACAGGAATGGAGGAACTCCGAAAGCGGTCTTCTCTGTACCTGCTGGGGAAACAGTTGCCCATGACATCATGTCGCCACCTGGGTTCTTATGAAAGTGTTGCCTGGGAAACTGTGTGTGTGTGTGTCTGTGTATACTTAGGCACTTTGGGGGAGGGAGTCCCCCAGTTTTCTTAGATTCTCAAAGGCCTCCAAGGCCTGCAAGGGTAAGAAGCCATTTATCAGGCAGGGCCCTTCTGAACCTGTGGCCACCTCCTTTCCCTGCCTGGGCCGGAGGCCACAGACTGGGCCCCACACCTGCGTGGGTCCTGATTCCCATCCCAGCTCTGCCGCTTGCCAGCTGTGTGACCTTGGTCAAGGCCCTTACTCTCTCTGTTCCTTCGCCTGTAAAATGTCCACAGTGCCTGCCACGTGGGGTTGTTGGGGATGAAACAGTAACCGCAACGAAAGTGGCAGCACAGTGCCTGACACAGCGCGAGAGCGTGAAAGGGGGCGATTTTTGCCCACCTCTGTTCCTGCTCCCAGCAGAGTCAGCCTCACGCTAACTACGGGGAAGGAAGCTGCAATTCGTGCCTCCTCCACCCCGGCACTTCCGGTGGCTGACCCCGCTGTCTGGGCCAGCTTCCTGGAGGAGTCTGCATGCCAGCAGGGGCACCACCTCCCCAGGGACACAGCCCCACAGGGCAGGAGGCTGGCCAGGGGCGGACTTTGGGAAAGACAGGTACTCCCCGCTGACCCTGCATCTGGACTGGGGAGTGGTGGTCTCACCGAGGGCCAGCCCTGCCTCCACCTCTGGTCCCCGTGTTACCCGAACGGTGTCATAGCCAACATGTCCCGACATCCGCCCGGAGCCATAGGCGATGTCCATGCGCCGTTCCGAGGACTGGAATGTGGAGGAGAGCTGCGGCCTGAAGATATTGTGGCCACCTGTAGATACGGGAGTGGGCGTCCATCAGGTGCTGAGGAGGGAGCGGGCGGGAGGGCACGAGATGGGGGGCAGGGGACGCTCACCGCAGGCCACGCTCTTGCAATAGATGGAGGGCACCCACAAGTCAGTAGAGCCAGTGTCGAGGATGACCCTGAACTCCTGAGGGGGTGTTCCAATGGTGATGATGCCGACATAGGTCATCTGCCAGAGCCAGGGAGGGGTGGTTAGGGCAGGCCTGATTCCTAGGGTGCTTGCCTTCATTGGGTGTCCCCATGCATCCTGAAATTGCTTTGCAACTGCTCTACCTCGTAACCCCTGCTCAAGCCAACACCTTCACTTGAGAAGCCCTCCAACCTTCCCTGCAGCTCTCCAAATCCTGTCCACCCTGGAAGGCCCAGCCTCAGTGCCTCCTCCTCCAGACAGCCCTCCTAAAGTCACCAAGGCCACTGCGCTCTTTCCTTCCTCCAAACTCAAATCACGTAATCTCAATACCACACAGTTGGCCCTTTTATTTGACATTCATTTACTCTTTGCTTGTTTCTCTGGCTGGGCTATAGGTTCTTGAAGACGAGATGGGGCCTTCGGTTATCAGTAACAATGACCATATTGTTAGTGTATCATAGCCTCCCACACCATATGGCTCAGTAGCTTCTATTGGTGTGATTCTTGGGGCTGAAGAGGCTGAACTTCTCTAGCCAGGGCATCAAACTGGATTTGCACTTGGCTTTGTTGTCGTTTGATCGGACATGGCTCACCCTTTAATGCGACTGTTAGCTTAGTGATTCACTAAGTTCAGACAGAGCAAAAGACCCCAAACCAAGCACCGCTGTGGCTCACAGGTGTCCAGTGACATATCATTGGCACAGAAATGGACGTTTACCTGGCATCTGGTCATTGCTGGGCCCAATCACTGCAGACCGACAACGGAGGGTAGGAGTGCCTTCTTCTCTGGGCATGGGTCCCTGTCCCCACTGTTTCTGCCTGCAGGAGCCCCAGGCATGACCTGCCGGCTCACACCTCCACCTGAGGCCCAGTGCCCGGAAGGACCCCTAGGGGGCGCTCTGGGAGCTCCATCCTCCCTGCATACTCACGTCCAGGTAGTTCCTCATGGGCTCAAAATTCACTTGCCGGGGCTGATGATATAGGCTGAGAAACCTGGCGGGGTTGTAAGGATACTTCTCAAGGTAATCTCTCAGCATGTCGTTTTCCCGGAGGTTTTCTCGAATGGATTTGACCTTCATCAGAGGGATTCTTTAACAGAGCATTGGGAAGGGAAACAAGTAAGAGACGCAATCGGCTGCCCCTTGCTACAATGTGGCTGTCACACCCTGCTTTATAATTGTGCCTTGCCTTTTCCGAGCATTTGAACGAGTGCTATGTTATTATCAGGACAGGCCATCCAACGCAATGGAAAGACCATGGCAGTGGCTCTAGGTTTGAATCCAGGTTCTGTTGTATAATCTTGGGCAAGTCATGACTTTTCTGAGCTTCAGTTTCCCTACCTGTAAATAAGGTGGAATGATAACACCCCCCTCACGTAGAGTGTTTGGAGGCATTGGGTGAGATGGTGGATACGATGCCCCTGCCCTACAGTAGGTCTCGGCGGTGACAGCCGTCACCATTGCTGCTGCCATCTCAATGCATCTTGCTCAAAACAGCCCTGGGAGGGCGGTGCGGGGGATCATTATCCTTTCGTTACAGGTGAGGAATATGAAACGCAGGTAGGTCGTGACTTGGCTGTGGTCACGCTGCCCGTCAGTGGCAAAGCTGGGCCTAGATGTAGCCTTCCTGATCTGTCTAGGGTTCAACCAGAAGAGAGGGGCTAGAGAGGAAGCCAGGACATGAGAAAACTCAAGGATGCTGAGGTGGGGAATAAATTAGGGAAATGAAGAGGGTAGAGAAACAAGAATGAGTTGGAACAGAAAGAAACAGAGTTCTGCATACACAGAGACACCAAAAGAGACGGAGAGATAAAGGAGAGAGATGTGGAGATAGAGATGTAGTCACAGAGACACATACACAAGGAAACAGAGAGGGGAGAAAGCGGAGAGAAGGCCTACAAAATTATGCGGAAGACACACTGTTCCTAGATGGGACTACATCTACAGCTGCACAGGCTGTGCACTGAACAATTCTGGGGAGTGCCATTCACATAGCTTATGATGTGACTGGTGCCCCTGGAGTTGTGCAACCCCTCAGGCCTACCCCAAGACCCCTGGGTCCTACAGTGCACATGGCAAACTGCTCATCAGTAAGTGGAGACTTGAACTTAATGAGCGTCAGAGAATGATAAGTTTCCTTCTTCATTCCTGCATTGGAAGGAGAATAAGGGTGAGAGAATAAGGGGGCAAGAAAGTGTCCAGAAAGAGAGCTGATGCCACTTGTCCCATAGCTTACCTGACCAAGCATTCTGAGAGGGCCACCAGCCCGAGGACCCCAAGCCACTTCATGCTTCCTTCCTGAGTTTACAGCACTCAGGAAAGAGAAAGCTCTGAGTGCGCAGTGGCCGTCAAGGGTTGCTCATTTTAAACGTGCTCAGATCTGCCCTAATCATCCCCTTAAGGGCCACTATTTGGACTTGATAAGAAATACACACTTTCCTGATAAGATCTTTACCTCCATGACTGTTTGTGCAGAGGGGACCCGGAAAATTCTCAGAAAACAGAGATTTCTATTGTAATCTCTACCTTGGGGCTTGGCTGAAAAAACAAAACCAAACCTCACGGGCTGACAAAGAGCGGTAGACTCTTGCTGTCTTGGGGATAAAGGCACTGCGAATAACACTAACGTGATAAAAATCAGTGCCATGTTTGACACCCATGGTCTCAGGCAGCCTTCTCAGCAACGCTGTGAGGTGCGCATTGCCCTCCCCACTGGAGAGGAGATCGCTGGGAGGAAGAGGGGTCAAACCGCAGAGTGAAGATGTTGGGAGCCGCCCACTGGCACAGGAGTGGGTTTGGGCGGTGGCTGGCGCAGCGCAGGCGCTTCGGATGCCCGTCTGCTCCAAGGATCTAGGCTCAGCGGTATGACAGCTGTACAATATTAATGTTGGAAGAAATGTGACGTATGCATCCGAAAGATGTTGTTTTCATGCAATAAACATCTATTGAAGACCCACTGTGCTCTAGGGCCTGGGCTAGACACTGTGAAATCAAAGTCGAGCAAGACAGAGCAGCCCTTGCCTTTAGGGAGCTTACATTCTGGGGCCAGGGTCACACGCGCAAGGCCCAGGAAGCAAAGGAAATGAGTGGCAGTGCTGGGCGGGCCTCGTAGGCATGGGTAGTACCCTCCCACTGCGGGGGCACAGCCTCTTCTCGGCTCCACCGGCGGTTGCCATGCTGGAAGGCAGGCTTGATGCCAGGTTGGCCAAGTTTTCAAGAGAAGTGGAGAAAATTCAAATTGTGTTTCTCCTAGCATACTCTCACAACAAGCTTCTGACGCCAGATGTGCGGGTTTTCTCCCCACCAACAACCTAGTGGTCAGTTCTGCAGCAGATACCAGCTGGGTGTCCCCCAGTTCAATTCTGACACCACCCACCTGGAGAGAGCGTCGGATCCCACGGGCTGAGGGCTCATTTCCATAAGACCGTCCCCCACTTCCCATGCCGATCGCAAGCCCCAGGTTGTTTAACCTGTGCTTCTGACCGACCGGCTATAAGTTGAAGACCTCGCAACTCCATCTTTGGGTTCGATTAATTAGCTAGAGTGGCTCACTAGACTCGGGAAAACACGTTTACCTGTTTACTATACAGGACATTACGAAGGATAGGGATGAAGAGACGCACAGAGAGAGGTACGGGGGAGGGGTGCGGAGCTTCCATTCCCTGCCCGGCGGCCACCCTCCAGGAACCCTGGCCCCCCACCCCACCCCCTGTTCCGTCCTCTCGGACCTGTTAAAGGAACTTCATAGACACGACCGAGGCACTGACAACCGCGTAGAGAAACATGACTAGACAAGAAGGGTGTGAGCTGATGCTAACAGACCCAGGCGGGAAAGCCAGCGCGGCCTGCCTGGTCAGATTCTTCCCGGCCTCTCTGTGCAGCATTCCTTCCTCCAGGGGATGGGCAGGACCTCTTCTGAAATGGGAGTTTTATGACTTCCAATCAGACATCGTGGATCAGAGAGTCTCTTCATGGCCAGAGGTGGGGAAAGATTAGAGTACCTTTTTAGTTTCCAAGGCCTGCCTTGGGGAGAAAAAGAGCAGGCGACAGGAGGTCAGGAGAAGCTGATCAGAGGGAGAGATGCTGTTTCCTCAGGCCTGCTCCTGAGGCCTAAAGTTCCCCAACATTATAGCAAAAGACTGTAACAAGGGCCATGGGAGTGATGAACCCGGAACTGTGGACAAAAACTTTGTATCTATCTATGTATTTAAATATCATAAAAAGTCAGAAGTCTGGATATTTATGTGAAATCCTTGATCTTTAAAGGTTGGCAGCTAATTGGTTTGTTTTTCTGAGAAACATGGTGCAGGCCACCCCTCAAGTACCTGTGGGCTGAATTCAGCCTGCAGGCTGCACAGGCGTTTATTTCTGGCCTGGAGGTGGGAGCGGAGAGGGGCTGGGAGGGTGTTCACGTTGGCTGAGTGCGTCCTGACCACATCAATTTTCTTTCCATTTGTAAAGAAAGACCACCAGGGTCAGATAAACCAAAGAACTTAATGAGAACTTCCACTCGATGAACACTTGTTGTAACTCCCCTGATAGGATCCAAGCCTGGAAATGTTTTTCTGCCAAATCAAACATATAAAGGAATAATTATTTTTTAAGAATCTTATCAATCAAAGAAGACAGACAAGGACCACCCAGAGCTTCTGCTCAGCCTGGGAAGAGCAGGGCTACCTCCTTAAACTGACATCATTCCAGCCAAGGTAAAATAAATGGAATTTTATGTCCCCTTTCAAGACTCCTTGGGCCCTGGTATTCTCTTGCGAGATCCGGATTCAGTCTGGGCCTGTCTTGGGTAGAACTATGTGGAGGCGGACCTGATCCCCAGGCTTGGATGGTAGATGGAATGAGGGCTCTGTGTTTCACTCCTCATTTTTGCATAGTTGTAATTCAGTTTTACCCCTATGAAAGGGATTTGATAACATCTAGCAAATTACACACACATACATGCCCTTTAGCTTAGCAATTCTACATTTAGGAATCTATCCTAAAGATATACTGGCAAAATACCAACAATTATATGCACAAGCAATTCATTGCAACCATTTGCAATAGCAAAAGATTAGAAACATACCAGAAATGTCCACCAGTGGTGACTGTTGAATAAGCTATAGTGCAGAGAGTATATTTCAGGTAACCACAGAGAGTTGATAAAAAAGTTCTTTTAATTAAAAAATTCCAACGATTAAATTCAGAATGAATGGTAGAATCAGGAACTCACTGTTTTTCAACTTCTGATGAAACAGTGGAACTAGGCAAAGATGCTAAATGGATGCTAAAGCCATAGGTGGTTGACAACACGGGGACCCACTGGTTCATCTTAGCACCTGCAAGATTGGGAAACCAGAAATTGTGTGCCCCTCGATGTGACGCAATAAGAAATATATGAAACTACCTACGAAGTCTTCCAATAAAAAATTTGAACTGAGGTCTAGATCTACTTACCAGTTTACAGGAAATATGTAGATAAAGGAACAGGGAAGCAATCATCTAATATGTGGGACATCCTGTAGGACAAATGACCCCTCCACCCAGCATCCCCCCACTTAAAAAAAAAAAAGACATTATTTTTTGGAGCAGTTTTGGTTTCACAGCGCAATTGAACAGAAGGTGCGGATTTCCCCATACCCCCCACCGCACACACGCACAGCTTCCTCCGTTAACAGCATTCTGCACCAGAGCAGGGCATGTGTTACAACCGATGAACCTACAGGGACACATCGCTGTCACCCCAAGTCCATAGTTTACATCAGGGTTCACTCTTGGTATTGTACATTCTGTGGGTTTGGACAAAGGTGTAAGGACATGTATCCACCATTAGAGCATCATACACAGTAGTTTCACTGCCCCAAAATCCTCCGTGCTCTGCCCATTCATCCTTTCCTCCCCCACTCCCCGGCAACAACTGATCTTTTTATTGCCTCCATAGTTTTGTTTTTTCCAGAATGTCATATAGCTGGAATCATACAGTATGTAGTATTTTAAGATTGGCTTCTCAGGTGCCAAGAACATACATAGAGAAAGGACAGTCTCTTTAATGGATAGTGCTGGGAGAATAGGATACCCACACGCAGAGCAATGAAACTAGACCCCTGTCTCTTACCGTGTACAACAGTGGTTCCCAACCTTTTTAGTACCAGGGACTGGTTTCATGGAAGACAAATTTTCCACAGATTGGGAAGGGCGGGGTGGGAGGTGGAGTTCAGGCTGCGAGGTGAGGGATGGGGAGCAGCTGTAAACACAGAGGAAGCTTCACTGGCTGGCCCACAGCTCACCTCCTGCTGTGCGGCCCGGTTCCTAACAGGCCATGGAGCCTGGGGGTTGGGGATCACAGATATATATACACAGATATACAAAAATCAAATCAAAATGGATTAAAGACTTAAATGAAAGACCCGAAACTATGAAACTACTAGAAGAAAACATTGGGGAAATGCTTCAGCATATTGGTCTGGGCAGAGATTTTTTGAGTAAGACCTCAAAAACACAGGCAACTGAAGCAAAAATTAACAAATGGGTTTACATCAAACTAAAAAGCCTCTGCACAGCAAAGGAATCAATCAGCAAAGTGAAGAGATAACCTACAGAGTGGGAGAAAATGTTTGCAAGCTATTCACCTGATAAGGGATTAATAACCAGAATACATAAGGAATTCAAACAACTCAACAGCAAAAACAAACAGAAAAAAACCCCACAAAAACCCAAAACCCAAATAATCTGATTTAAAAGTGGGCAAAAGATCTGAAAAGACATTTCTCAAAAGAAGACATACAGGCCGGGCGCGGCGGCTCACGCCTGTAATCCTAGCTCTCTGGGAGGCCGAGGCAGGCGGATTTTTTGAGCTCAGGAGTTCGAGACCAGCCTGAGCAAGAGCGAGACCCTGTCTCTACTAAAATTACAAAGAAATTAATCGGACAACTAAAAATATATAGAAAAAATTAGCCGGGCATGGTGGCACATGCCTGTAGTCCCAGCTACTCGGGAGGCTGAGGCAGGAGGATCGCTTGAGCCCAGGAGTTTGAGGTTGCTGTGAGCTAGGCTGACGCCACGGCACTCTAGCCTGGGCAACATAGTGAGACTCTGTCTCCAAAAAAAAAAAAAAAAAAAAGAAGACATACAAATGGCCAACAGGTGTATTAAAAAAAATACTCAATATCCCTAATCATTAGGGAAATGCAAATTGAAACCACAGAAAGATATCATCTTGCCCCAGTTAAAATGGCTATTATCAAAAGGGCAGAAAATAACAAACGCTGGCGAGGCTGCCGAGAAAGGTAATGCTCGTA